CGTGTGGACTTCAACTCCCAGAATTCCTGAGCTAGCATGACTGGAGGAGGAATTCTGGGAGTTGAAGTCTGCAAGTCTTAAAGCAGTCAAGTTTGAAGACCCCTGGCCTAGAGGTTAAAACATATGAAGAACAGTTGCAGGAATTGGGTATGTCTAGTCTAATGAAAAGAAGGACTAGGGGAGACGTGATAGCAGTGTTCCAATATCTCAGGGGCTGCCACAGAGAAGAGGGAGTCAAGCTATTCTGCAAAGCACTTGAGGGCAGGACAAGAAGCAATGGGTGGAAACTAATCCAGGAGAGAAGCAACCTAGAAACTAAGGAGAAATTTCATGATAAGTGAAAACAATTAATATGTGGAATAGTTTGCCTCCAGAAGTTGTAGGTGCTCTATCGCTGGAAGTTTTAAAGAGATTGGAGAATCATTTGTCCAGAATGGTATGGGGTCTCTGGCGTGAGCAGGGGGTTGGACTAGAAGACCTCCAAGGTCCCTTCCAACTCTCTTATTCTGTTATTTATAGTTCCTGCAATGCTATTGTAACGTCCATTGTTTTTTGCATTACTATTGTTCGCATTGATGCATTTTGCAATCCAGCCAATTTGCACCCTATCATAACTTCTCTTCCTGGCCAGACAGAATTGGGTCACCCAATCCCTTAGTGCCATGCCAAAACACCAGAAAATTCTGAGGGGGACGGGAATGGACACTTTGGGTGACCTAGTCCTATACCATTCTGGACAAATGGCTGTTCACTCTTTTTAAAAACTTCCAGTGATGGAGTCACTCACAATTTGTGAAGGCAAGCCTTTCCACTAATTAATTGTCCTCGCTCTTAGAAAGTTTCCCCTTAATTCCAGGTTGCTTCTCTCATTGATTAGTTTCCATCCATTGTTTCTTGCCTTCTGGTGTTTTGGAAAACGAATTAATCCACCCTCCCTCTTTTTGGCAGCCTCTAAAGTACTGGAATACTGCTAGCATGTCATTCCTAGTCCTTCTTTTCTTCAGACTAGCCAAACCCAAATCTTGAGACCGTTCTTCGTATGTTTTAATCTCCGGGCCTTTCATCACCTTCTTTGCTCTTCTTTGCACTTTTTCCAAAGTCTCAACATCTTTTTTTGTGTGATGTGGTGACCAAAACCGGATGCAGTATTCCAGGTGTGGCCTTACAAAGGCTTTGTAAAGTGGTACTAACACTTCACATGGTTTTGATCCTATGGTTCTGTTTACACAATCAAGGATTGTATTAGGGGTTTTTTTTTGGCTGCTGTTGGTGCACGCAGCTGGCTCATGTTTCACTGATAAACTAGGTCTATTTTTACCATTTGAAATTTCTTTCGGGGAAGCTTGAAGAAGGCATAGATGAGATGATTCTGCCATTGACCAAGATCAGTCTGCTATAGCCATTAATTAAAAATGATAGAAGAGAATATTTGTACCTCAGAGATGAACGGTGGGGTCCTTGGTGTTCTTTGAGCTTGGTTGCTTGCTCACAAATGTTTCATTACCAAATAAGTATTTCCAAAGATTAGAAGCATAGAAGATTGATTCGAGCCTCTATTAGTTGACAAGAATTTAGTCAGCCAAATGTCCATAGAGATTCTCAATCACCCAGGTCATGGCTGTCCCAAAGGTGCTTTTTCAAGAGGCAACCGGACTTTCTTTGTTTTTCCTTGAAGACATCCCACTTCTCAACCAAGAAGCTTCTTCAGTTCTGAACTGAAGAGAACTGAAGACGCTTCCTGGACAAAGAAGCAAAACGTCTTCAAGGAAAAACAAAGAAAGTCCAGTTGCCTCTTGAAAAAGCACATTTGGGGTTATCTCAAGATACCGCCTTCGGTAATTCAAATAGAAAAAGCACCTACTTCCCATCTCATTCCGAGGGCCAGTCCTACTCACCATCATCTGGATATTCCTGTAGTCTATGGAGACACACTTTACGTAGGTTGGAAGCGTCCAATAGGCGATGCCATCTTCATCCAGAAGGCACCGCCGTAGGATCAGCCCTGACGAGAGAGAAAAATAGAATGAAAACCATAACATGGAAAGAACTCCTGCTCCTACTCCTCCGTGTAAACCCCACTGCCATCTAGCACTGATGATATTACCTAGTTGGGCATGAAATGCCTGCAGGAAAATATCCAAGCTCAGAGAGTACCAAGGACTGCACAGTCCTCCTCCCCCTCCTCCTCCTGTTCCTCCTCCTCCTCCAGCACCCCCACAGGTAAATCACTCCATTACCCCCTGGATATGCCCAAATTAACCACTTGTGGGTAATTACTCCCTGCTGTAAAAACACCAATGGAGACCGTGATATCAGAATCTTGAAAAACCAGGCAGGATTTTTCCATCTTCTAATTAAGAGAGTTGTCCCTTTAGGTTTCTTTCTATAGTTTTTTCTTTCTTTCTTTCTTTCTTTCTTTCTTCCTTTCTTTCTTTCTTTCTTTCTTTCTTTCTTTCTTTCTTTCTTTCTTTCTTTCTTTCTTTCTTTCTTTCTTTCTTTCTTTCTTTCTTTCTTGGTTTTAGGGTGCGTTTTCACGAACTGCCTCCTTCTTTTACTAAGGTCACCTTGGTGGAGATCTGAATGGAGCCCCCAAGCTTAAACATGAAATATTGAGCGTACCACGGACCTCGTAAGGCCCTAGCTGTTTTCCTTTCAGAATCCGAAGCAGCCAGGGATGAGCTGCTGGGGGATCGCAGGGGTTCGGGAGAACCCCTAGCTAAGATTCAGCACGGTTTGGAGAACCCCCAAATCCCACTCCTGGCGGGCTCTGCCCACCCTGCCCCGCCCCTCCTAGGAGTCCCCACGCTGCCCGTTTCGGATGCAGGTAAGTTCAGGGTGCGTGCAGAGGCTCGGGGAGGATGAAAAACGGTCATACTGGAAGTTCGGGAAAGCCAGAAATGGGCCCGTTTTTGGCTTCCAGAGAGCCTCCGGAGCCTGGGGAGGCTGTTTTCCACCCTCCTGGAGGCTCGAGGAAAGCCTCGGGAACCCCGGGAGGGTAAAAACACGCCCCCCCCGCCATCGGTGCAGGAGGCCAAGTAGGCCACGCCCACCACGGCCACAACCACCCAGCAACCAGGCAGAGAACCCCTTGTTAAATTTTTTGAAGATAGCTAACTCCAGGTGTTCAAGGGCAGCCACCATATCTCTACTTTTCTTTTTTTTTTATATAGAAATATCCTTATTATATTTCAGAAGCAAAGATGAAAAAGGCAAACTAACAGAAGGAGGACCAGAAAAGGGGGGAATGGAATAACAATCTGATCCCACGTCTTACCCGTCGCGTTACGAGGACATCGGACAGCCGCTGCATCACCAGCTGGAGTTTCTTTCCACACCACAGAGGCCAAGTTGTCCTCATCGCAGATTTCTTGAGGCTCTATCAAAGAAAGAACTTGAGAACTTGGAGAACTTGCCTGAAAGAAATTTGGCTTAACATTTCATTTATAGAATTCAAAGGAGCTTCTGACGGAGCTCTTGGCCTGTTAAATGTTCACGATCAGCTGATTTTAGGCAATATGAGGGCAATACTAACTCAAAGAATCATGGAATCCAAACCAGGCCCAGTTCCTGCAACCGTTCATCGTATGTTTTAGCCTCCAATCCCCTCATTATCCTGGTTGCTCTTCTCTGCACTCTTTCTAGAGTCTCAAGATCTTTTTTATAATGTGGCGATCAAAACTGGATGCAGTACTCTAGGTGTGGTCTTACTAAGGCTTTATAGAGTGGTATTAGTACCTCCCTTGATCTTGATTGTATCCCTCTGTTAATGCAATTTAGGATTGCATTAATTGTCTAATCTTCTCTTTAAAACCTTCAGCGATAGAGCACCCAAACACCAGGAGGCAAGCTATTCCATTAATTATTGATTTTTCTTGTCCAGAAAAATTCCACTTTATTTCCAGGTTGGATCTTCCACCCATTGCTTTGTGTCCAGCCCTCAGGTGCTTTGGAGAATAAGTTGACTCCCTCTTCTCTATGAAACCCATGAAGTACCATTCACCCCTTAGCCTTCTCTTTGTTAGGCTTGACATAATTAGTCCCCTTAACTGTTCCTCCTGTGATTTATTCTGCAGACCCCTGAGAATCTTCTCTGCACTCTTTCTAAGGCCATCTTTCTTTTAAAATCACGGTGAACAGAATTAGATGTGCTATTCCAAGTCCCAAAGGTACTTTTTTTCAAGAGGCAATTGGACTTTTTTCTGTTTTTTCTTTGAAGATGTTTTGCTTCTCGTCCAAGAAGCTTCTTCATCTCTGTCCGGATGGTGGAGAATTGGAAGGATTTATATTCCTTGCAGACAGCTGGTGATTTGCATCCTTTTAAAGAGTCATTGAGGCCGCTTGGTGGTTTATCTGTAGTTGTAGTGGTGATGCAAATTGGTTTATCCATACCCATTTGCATGACTCGGGTGACCCTGAGGATAAAGGCAAACCTCCAAGTGGCCTCAACACCTCTGTAAAAGGATGCAAATGACCAGCTGTCTGTAAGGAATATAAATTCTTCCATTCCTCACCATCCAGTCAGAGCTAGAGAAGCTTCTTGGATGAGAAACAAAATGTCTTCATATAAAAACCAGAAATTCCAATTACCTCTTGAAAAAAAAAGCACCTTCGGGACAACCATGACCTGGATGATGGAAAATCTCTATAGACACTATTCCAAATGTGGCTTCATAAGTGAAGGGTGATTCCCTGATATATTTTCTTGCCCACTATGGAAAGGAACACCAACTACTTGAACCTTAGCTACAATACTATAGGATTTTTTTGGTGGGGGGTCATCATTCCAAGAATAAAATTAATTGGTCAGACTTTGTATTCAAAACCAGGTCCAACCAACTGTGGTATTCTCTCATGCGTGCGGTGGCCCAGGAGGGTAGCAGACAAATCAAGTATAAAACATATATATATATGCAATAGAACATGTTATAGCCATAAATGCATTTCATGAAAATTCCCATAAATATTCTACACTTCTGGAAAAGGAGAGGTAGAGTTTGCAGCCTACAAGATTGAAGAATGAATCCCACTTCTGCTTCAATAATGCCAGCCTTTATGCATTGAAGTTATTTACGAGACATAAACCAGGGGAAGCTGTCAGAGGAATATTAAAGCTATTTCTCAACTCGGAGCAGGAAGATAGGAGGGCGCAGATATTTTTCAAGTTCCAATTATATTTCTTTCCTTCCTGAACATGTAAAGCAACTTGTAAACAGAGTGGGCACATACATGGCCCAGAAAGACTAGAAAAATATTGCCGAAGTAAGACTGACTGTAGACATACCTAGAACCATAGACCTGCCTAGACCTTAAAATAGCCTTGCCTTACCTCAATGTTTCTCAACCATGCAATGAGAAGGCAGAACAATCAATCAGAGGAATGGCTTGCCTCCAGAAGTTGTGGGGGGCCCATCACTGAAGGTTTTCAAGATGAGATTGGACAACCATTCATCTGAAATGGCATAGGGTTTCTTGCTTGAGCAGAGGGCTGGGCTAGAAGACCTCCAAGGTCCCTTCCATTATTCTGTTACTCTTTAATTAATCATTGGACCAACTTGCCTCCAGAAGTGAGTGTACCATCACTGAAGGTTTTCAAGAAGAGATTGGACAGCCCTTTGATATAGGATAGGATCTCTGGATTGACCAGGGCATTGACCTCCTGATACATGAAGCATGTGAGCTTTTCCCTTCAGCCTTCACTGGTTTGATCTGGATTTGTAGATTCTTTCATCCAGTCTAGATCAGCTGGAGATCATGGGCACCACTTCCCGCCTAGTTGGAGATTATCCAGTTTGGAAAAAAAAACAACTAATGATCCTTTTTGCTCTTGGACAAGGCAATTTGTAGTCCAGACCATTAGAAAGCTGTTGTGTGAACACAACATGAGGAGGAGGAGGAGGAGGAGGAGGGTCATTCCTGGCAGGCCATATGCTCCACCATCTGTTCTTCTGCAGATAGAGATGGAGGAGCCACTCAAGGTACAATGTCCTTCTCTGATTTTGCAAGCTGCACTGAATGACACTTCTGGTAATGAAACTTGACGCTCTGTATTAGAGATGGTTGATAAAAGAGGACATAGACTCATAAGGCTGCAAGGGACCTCAGGGGTCTTCTAATCTAATGCCCTGCTCATGCCAGGAGCCTCATGCCATCCCAGGCAAATGGTTGTCGAAAACCTCTAGTGGTGGAGACTAACAGAATAACAGAAGGGACCTTGGAGGTCCTCTAGCCAATTCCCCTCTGCAAGCAGGATATCCTACACCATTTCAGACAAGTGACTGCCCCAGTCTCTTCTTAAAACCTCCAGTGTTAGAGCACCCAGAACTTCCAGAGAGAAGCTGTTCCATTGAATGGTTGTTCTCACGGTCAGGAAATTTCACCTTAGTTCTAGGTTGCTTCTCTCTTTGATTAGCTTTCGTTTGTTGCTTCTTCTCCTGCCTTGTGGTGCTTTGGAGAATAATCAGAATCAGAATGCAGATGGAACAGACTTTGAGATCTTCTAGTCCAGCCCGCTGATCAGGCAGGAGATCCTATACCGTTTCAGACAAGTGCCTATCCAATCTCTTCTTTAAAATCTCCAGTGATCCGGTCGACTAGAAGTCACTTCTCCTGGTGATGGACCAAACTCACCCACTTGTCATTCCACCATCAAGACAAGGATCTGTGGACAAACCCTGATTTTTGCACAAGTCTGCCTTGGGTACCGTCGGTGCCTGTTCTTAGTCCAGGAGATCTTTTTCTTGATGACTCATGCTTTAGTCATCGCCTGTTTGGATTGCTGTAATGTGATCCAGGTGCTGTTAATCTTCAAGATCATTTGGAAGCTCTAGATTGGCCAGAAGGCAGCACTGCAGATAATTTTGAAGCGCTTTTTTTTTTTTTTAAATTACAGCCATATAACACCAGTGCTCAGGGAGCCGCAATGGCTCTCCGTGAACATCCTATTGTAATCCAAGATGCTGGTTCTTCAAACCCTACTTGGCTTTCAGGCCAGAAGACCGTCTCTGTTATCTCTGCTTGTCCCACCAGATCTAGGCAAGGGGGACATGCTCCAACTCCTTTCCATCAAACAATGTCATCTCACTGGACCCTTCTGTAGGTCAGGCCCGAACCCAAGAATGACACGTGGTGAATTTTCCAAGCTGAGTTCTTTCTTGTTTCAAACCTATAGACAGAATATTGCCAGATTGCACACTCTACTAATTACATTTACAATATTCTTTGGGAACTATTAGGGAGGGGGTGTCCTCATCCCCTTTCTCTCACACATGATGTCTGAGCTAAGTTGCCTCTTACTCCTCTGGATTTCACCTGCCTGGGAATCCATCTCCTTACAACATTCCATCACCCAATTTCTGCTCTGAGGAACCATATCCCCCTTGAGATCAGGAGCTTTTTGCAAAGTGGTGAAGACCTACCAGCTGACCAAAGCATTTGGGCCGGTAGTTTAGGCAAGCTCTGCTAGTTAATGATTGTTTTTAAAAGTTGCTTTGGTTTATGGTTTTGACCAGGTGCATTTCTTTTCCAATAGCTTATAAGGGCATTCATTCTGAAAAAATAAAAGGTGCACCTCATTTTTCAAAGCACTACGTGGATTGTTTAGGCAAGCAACCATAAGCAATGTTCTTTCTGGATGCAAACCAGAGCAGAGGTCTCAAAAAGTCATTGGCAGCTTGAAAAGGGAGGGATGGAGAGAGAGAAGACAGAGAGAGGGAGAGAGGGAGAGAAATAAGACACAAGAAAGAGAAGAAAGAGAGGGGCCAAAGAGACAGAATGAGAGAAAAAGAGAGAACGGAAAGAAAGGGAGAGAAAATGAAAGAGAAAGAGAAAAGAGAGAGGGAAAGAGAAGAGAGCAAGAGAGAGAATGGAAGAGAGAAAGAGAATGAGAGAGAGAAGGGACATAGAGAGGAAGTGGAAGAAAGGAAGCGGGAAAGGAAAGAAAGGGAAAGACAATGGGAGAGAGAGAGAGAAGGAGAGAGAAGAGAAAGAGAAAAGAGTAAGAGAGAGAATGGAAGAGAAAAGAAGAATGAGAAAAGAGATGAAAGAGAGAAAGAGGAAGAGAAAATGAGAGAGACAGAGAGAAAGCGAGAGAGAAAGAGAGATAAAAGAGAAAGCAGATAGTAAAAGAGAGAGGGTGGGGATCAGTGTGGTGAAACTAAGACAGGCCTGAGTAGCTTCCAGGAAGACAAATTTAATTTTAGAAGACTCTAAAATATATCCCTTGGCAGCTGATGCCAAAAAGCCAACATTTAGAATTTAATTATTATTATAAATTCAGACTTCCCCACAGACACTTATCGGAACTAGCAGTATTTCACGGTGCAAGTTCCATACATCCACTTTATGTCTATTTCAACAATGCAGTTTAAGAGGAGTATC